TCAACATAGTTGAATTAATACATCTTATGTTTTAAGATGTATATGCCAATGGCTTGTTCTTGTACAGATTTACAATGCTACCACACCTTATCTTGAAAAACTATGAAGGATTGGATCTTGGAAAGCTAGATAAGGTTTGTTGTGAATTCCTCGATCGGTAAATTTGGTATATATCTAAAACTTTTTTTAATAGTTGCGTCTTCCTTGTTGTTTCTATCCTAAATCTCTTTTGTATAGATAACAACAATAACAACCGACATCACTATGCATGCAGATATTAAATGCATACCTGCAATTTCTGTATGGGCATGGTACCAATATGAAATGGAATGGTTCCTTCAGATAGAGAAGCTTATCGGTGGGGAGCATATTCTTAGTCTTTGCTGTGACATTTGAAGAAGTAAAACATTCTTATTCTTATTCTTAACAAATACAAGTGTTTTTCAGACAAAAAGCTACCAGAATACCCTACACAACTTGAGAAAGTTTTGCTTTTGGAAGAACGTGTTGGTGAAGCCAAAAGATTAGCAGGAACTAGAAGACTACAAAACTGATTATGAAGGGCTCATGATGATACTAGAAGACCACAAGTGATTTTCTTTATTGGTGCTAATTGGAAGTAATGTTTAAGCTTTTGTAGATGTTCATGTCTATCCTCTAAGGCAAAATCATGCCAAATATTTCTTCAGCCATCGGTAGAAAATCTTGGATCATCACCTGGTGTGGAAAATTGGGCAGAATATCTTGAATCATCATAGGTTCTACAATTATATTGATTATATTGTATATATCAAGTTATAGATTATGACATTTGATCATTTAGATATTCATAAGTATATATTTAGTAGAAAATATAATAAGTTATTTAGAAAAGTGATATAATGAAATATCAATTGTTTTTTAAGTTATATAAATTTATGTATTTGTTATATGTGAGTCTTTATATATTTGATATACGTGAGTCTTTATATATTTGATATATTACCAAAAAAACAATAATGTTTAAATTAAAAAAAATAATATTATAAAAAAAAAGAGATGAAAGTAATTTAAATAAAAAAAGAATATTATAAAAAAAAATTCTATAGATAAAAATACGACGGTTCAAACCGTCGCAACTAGCATAAATAATATTTAGAATTAGTAAATATAATTACGACGGTTTGAACCATCGTTATTTGTAATTTACGTCAATTTCTTAATCGTCGTGACTTATAACGACAGTTGGAGTGGAAATTACGACAATTAGCTACCCGTCGTGAAAATAACGACGGTTTGTACGACAGTTTTCACAACCGTCGCAATACGGCCTCGCGACTCACGTTTCTGCGACGCGGTTGAAACCGTCGTAACTTACAAATTGCGACGGTTAAAACCGTCGTAATATGTCAAAATGAATCGTCGCAATTTGCCAATTTTCTTGTAGTGATGAAGCCTTATCACTTGTTTCGTTCCATTCTACAGGTCTATTCAAAGGTGAGCGGAGAACAACCTCCTGAAAAAATACATAATCGATGTTAGCTCAAAAGAGTTTTACGGTGAAGGATACGATGACAGTGACAAGAGAATTCCTGACATGACCATAATTAACAAGCATCTCGGTAAGTTTAGGTTTCTGTTTCGGTTTCATCCTTCGTTCATACTATTTGATCTTCAACATTTCATGTTAATTTACCTGTGAACGAATGTTGTCGTCTTTGCAGGATGGAATTCTAAGACTTCACTATTGGACGTGCTTGAATCGACACTCACCTATCAGCACAGGACATACGCAGAAGCCATCAAGAAAGTGATTGCACAACCCATTGCAAGTTAAAAGGTTTAAACAAAAACATTCAACGGGAATGCCAGAAGGGTAGTGTTACACACCCAAGTACCTCACATTATATATTACTATTTTTGAATTTTTACATATATGGTACATTTAATGTAGAGCTTTGCACTGGTAAACAAGTTATGGCATTTTTCATACATAAAGGAAAATTGTCCATTTGACTTGGTTGATTTTTGCAGTGTCCGCAGAGGCTTCAAAAGGCAAATTACTCAAAAGCATGCAATGCTCTTCTGCTCAAGGTACTCTCATTCTACTTGTGAATTTTTCCATATAAGTTATTAAGTCTGGATAGATAAATATATTGATACACTATTGCTTGACATACATGTATCAATATAGTGCATTATGTCAGTCAACCATTGTGCCATGAGTCTATCACCACCACAACCCCATGTCCATTTTAATATAAGAATTTTTCCATTTAGTTAATTGTATCTTGAACAGGATCAAATTAATATTGGAGCTCCATGCAGATTAGAGCATATCACCAAGTATAACCATGTTAGTGTTTGTTCATTACATTAGGTGCAATTTACATTGTTAAGCTTAAGCAAGTTCTAAATGTTTGTAACTCGGAAGCTCTTAGAATTGACTCTCCTATCTACTCTTTTTATTTTAAGAAATTGTAAGAATGCTAATATGTATTAACCTCCATTTTGTGGCAGTGTAGTGATCCTTTGCTTGGTATAAAATGGCCGAGCCTATTGTGCAAATCATCTATCACCTAGTGATGCCTATGATTTAAATAAAAAACTTATCATCCTAAGATATGTTGTTTTATCTGTCTCAATTTATCTTTCAAACAAGGTAAATAGAAGCATTAACAATTTGTTTTTGCTTACGAGTTGAAATTGTAACAAGGACGTACTTTCTTTTTCAAAGTATTTTATTTTTTGTCTAAGATATTGTATACATGCTATGTGTGATGTGGTTAAAAAATTAGAGAACGCAAGGTTAATGATTGAAAACTTTTTAATGTTTGTGTTTATTGTGTGAATATCATGAAGATTGATGATTGCCATTAATGTAACCTATAATAGTTGTATTCTGAATCCTAAACTGAGTGCAAAATTTTTTAAAAAAATATTTGCAACTTGCGGCGGTTCAAATCGCCACAATATACTTTCAACAATGAAAACAAAAATCATTAAGCAAGTTAAGACGGTTGGAAACCGTCACAATATGGAGATTACGACAGTTAGCTACCCGTCAGGAAAATAACGATGGTTTGTACGATAGTTTTCAGAACCGTCGCAATACAGTCTCGCGACGCACGTTTCTGCTACAGGATTGAAACCATAATAACTTACAAATTGCGACCGCTCTAACCGTCGTAATCTTCCAAAATAACCGTCGCAATTTGCAAATTTTCTTGTAGTGTTGAGATAACTGATCATGTATATACCTCAGTTGTTCGTCAATAATTTTTCTATAATCGCACAAAACAAGGTAGTCAACATAAGTAAACAAATGAAACTAAAAACACTCATAAGTTATTTTTCTATCAAAATAACATCAAAGCAAGGCTTGTATAACGATGCATTCCAACCATATAAATAAGTTACATACAATTCTAGCCAACCTCTAATTTACATAACATAAAAAATATATTGGACCTCTAATTGACATAACAAAAAAATACATTAAAAATACACGTATGAGGTATTTGGGCTTTGATATTTGTATGGGATATTTGAACTTTGACATTCATATAATATGTGCTATAGTTCATATAATACAAAATCCTAATGTCATATTTACCAAACTTAAACCTTAAATGAACTAGTAAGAAAATGGATATTAGATTAAATGTAATGTAATTTATTTAGAAATTGGAAAGAAATCTAAGGCCTCATAATCACAAGAAGTAAGGGCTATGACATGTCTAACTTGACATTGATTAGGGAACTTAGTTTGAATGATAAATAGTAGAAATTGATAGATAGTAAGTTTTCATGCAAATAGTCCTTCTTGACGTTATTGTGCTATTTGCTATTTTTGAAATGTTATTGAATGGAGAGGAAAAGGAATAGTCCTTCTTGACGTTATTGTGCTATTTGCTATTTTTGAAATGTTATTGAATGGAAAGGAAAAGACAGTTCGTTTGATTATAAAGAGTGCATTCAAAGATTAATATTCATATGAGTTATTCAGAGAACAATATCCGAACACATTTATTGTACATCTAATGTGTTTTGGTCTATTGTATTGTGGATATTTCTAAATTTTATACTCCAGATAGTGTAAGAGAGACAACTTCGAAAATTCATTGGACGTAAGAGAATTATTAAGAATGTAACGAACAATCAATCTCTTTATTAATACTCTTTAATTCTTTTTATTTTATTTTTATTGGATAAAATTGTTTTGTTTATCTTCGCAGACATGAATATGTTTGTTTAATATATTGTTTTATTATTTTCTTTTTTAAATACTTTCTTCAAATAATATTTACTTAATCATTTTTATTTTTGTAGTGTTATATATATATATATATATATATATATATATATATATATATATATATATATATATATATATATATATATATATATATATATATATATATATATATATATATATATATATATATATATATATATATATATATATATATATATATATATATATATATATATATATATATATATATATATATATATATATATAAAAGAATATCCATTTACTGAATTTTTTACTGAACTTTCATAAACTTATTATAAGTAAAATTTGAATTTTTGTTAAAGACCTTGGTCTGATTGCCAACCTTTATAGTTAATAGGATTTCTTCTCTTTCAAAAATATTAATTTAAACTAAAAAGAAAAAAAAAAAACTAATGTATATATACCTACGCTGAGAAAAACATTTGCTTAGTACCAACACTAAAAATCATAAGAAACTTTTCTTTCTTCTTTTAAATATGAACATATATTGAGAATAATAAATCATAAAACAATTAGAGCAATAAGGATCAATTAACTTATAAAATTAATAGTATACTTTCACCCTTCTTAAAATGCATACAACAAACTATTACATCATACCTTATTATTCATAAACTTAATAATAAAATAACAACATCACAAATATTAATTAAATTAAAGTAAACATATGAATCTTCCAACACAATCTCTCAAGATAAGCACTTATTAATTAATTCAAAGCTTAAAGGCTGCGGAGGAGAATTCCTTCAAAAGTGATTCCAGGTCCAAAAGCCAATCCTAAGCCCCATTCTTCACTTCCATCTTCCTTCAAATAATCCCTCATATACTCCATCACATAAAATATAGTATTGCTACTAACATTTCCATAATCCATTAAAGCCTTTCTACTACACTCCAACTTATCACTTTTCAATTTCAGTGTATTTTCTAGCTTATTCAGAATTGCTGGTCCACCGGGATGAACAGCCCAAAACAATTCATTGAAATTTTTCACATCACATTTAGCCATAATTTTGTTGCAAAATTCTTCAATATTGTCTTCAATTTTTTGAGGAAGGTCTCTTCCTAGCTTAAAGTTAATACCCTCTTCAGTAATTCTACCATCAATGACATTTTGTGTATCCGGCAAGAATTTTTGAACAGCATAGTTCAGTTCCATGAAAGGTGATTCTTGACCTAATACAGGGTTGGTGCCAATTATGGCAGCCGCGGCGCCATCACCGAAAAGCGCAGCGCCAACGAGATCATAAGGTCTAGCTTTGTTCGGTGCTCGAAACCCTAGTATCGTGGTTTCGGAAGTTGTGAGCAAAACCCTACTTCCAGGGTTGTTTTCGGCGATGTCTTTGGCAACACGTAAGCCAGTGACCCCGCCATAGCAACCAAGAAAGTAGAGCATTACACGATTAACATCGGTGTTTAAGCCAAGTTCATTTGCGAGATAGAGGTCTCCGCCCGGGAGGCGGATTTCGCTCGAGGAGACGTAGACAATGTGTGTGATGTCTTGAGGTGATCTTCCCCATTCTTTTATGCAAGCTTTGCATGCTCTTGTTGCCATTTCAACAACTGCTGGATTTGCTATTTCTAGCTTTTGTCTTATTGTTGGTACTCCTTCTATGGCTAGCTCTGGATGTTTGTCTAGGATTTCCTTTGACATTACTGTGTATCTGGTTTTCACAGTTGTGTTTTTGCCTGAAAATTGGGAAATGAAGAAAATTATAAACTGCTGCAATTTAGACTAATTAATACTCCCTCCCTATTATATTATAAACAAATTTTATTTTTTAGATACATTAATTATTAATTATTTAATATACTTAAAATATAAATTTTATTTATAATATAAAATGGAAAAAAAAATAATAACAGACCTGAATTTCGCGAATGTTTGGAATTTTAAAATTATGTTATTTTCAAAATTTTAAATTTGAATTTTATTAAGTATTAATAATTCTTATGTTGGACTATTCCGTACTGAAATTTATTTTGACTTTAAATAAACCCTCGACTAATAAACGGAGAAATGGAATCTTTTGAAGTAATCGGCGGATATCAAATTTAAAAAATAAAAAATTAACTTGACTTACAAAGACGCTCCAATTTCTCCTTAATATAAACATCTTCGCACTTAGTATCTCGAATATACCCTTCCACCAAGCACTCTTGAGGGAGGACTTGGCTCGGAAAAGCCTTCCCTAATGCAAGTATTGTTGCCTTCCCAGGAACGGGAGCACGCTTGGCGCGTGCACCGTTTTGCGCGGAGCATCCATTCAAATCACCTTGAGGCATTTTTTGATGTTCAAGCAAATACTATAGCTCTTGTGTTGTGGAAATGCAATGGATCAAGACTTGGTGATGGAATTGAGAAATTTTCGGACTATAAATAAAGGCATTTGTCAAAGTGTTGAAAGAAGTTGGTGTTAAGCAAGACTAGCATGTTGTGTTAGAAAGTACTACATTATTTGAGTTTGGTTAGGTTTTAGTGTTCATGTTTTTTAGATGTTTGAATGAAACGTTTCATAGGTCAACAATCTTTTACTTTCTTATTTGTTTAGTACCAAATTCATTTCTAACTTGCAACACTTTTCGGTCTATATATAATGTGTAAGGTTTACAACAAAATGGAAACAGCATGAGTATTTCATAAAAGCTCTGAAGATTTTTATTTTTAAAAATAAATAAATTTAGTCTCAAAACATAAATATGTATAAAATAATATAAGTTTTTCACATTATTGTAAATATATTTACAATAATGTGAAAAACTTATATTATTTACAATAATTTTCAGAGCTTTTAAAAATAAATATAAGTGGGCTGGACCTTCCCGGTCAAGTAGGGACCTAGGCCAAAAAAAAAAAAAAAAAATATATATATATATATATATATATATATATATATATATATATATATATATATATATATATATATATATATATATATATATATATATATATATATATATATATATATATATATATATATATATATATATATATATATATATATATATATATATATATATATATATATATATATATATATATATATATATATATATATATATATATATATATATATATATATATATATATATATATATATATATATATATATATATATATATATATATATATATATATATATATATATATATATATATTCAAATTATATTTACATAAATAAAAATCTTTTAAATTATATATACTTACTATAAATAATGCATGCTTAATATATATACTTAAATATATTACGCAATATAAAGAAAAAATCTATACTTACTCAATATATAATCCTTATATAAAAATTATATATTTGTTATATATATATATATATATGTGTGTGTGTGTGTGTGTGTGTGTGTGTGTGTGTGTGTGTGTGTGTGTGTGTGTGTGTGTGTGTGTGTGTGTGTGTGTGTGTGTGTGTGTGTGTGTGTGTGTGTGTGTGTGTGTGTGTGTGTGTGTGTGTGTGTGTGTGTGTGTGTGTGTGTGTGTGTGTGTGTGTGTGTGTGTGTGTGTGTGTGTGTGTGTGTGTGTGTGTGTGTGTGTGTGTGTGTGTGTGTGTGTGTGTGTGTGTGTGTGTGTGTGTGTGTGTGTGTGTGTGTGTGTGTGTGTGTGTGTGTGTGTGTGTGTGTGTGTGTGTGTGTGTGTGTGTGTGTGTGTGTGTGTGTGTGTGTGTGTGTGTGTGTGTGTGTGTGTGTGTGTGTGTGTGTGTGTGTGTGTGTGTGTGTGTGTGTGTGTGTGTGTGTGTGTGTGTGTGTGTGTGTGTGTGTGTGTGTGTGTGTGTGTGTGTGTGTGTGTGTGTGTGTGTGTGTGTGTGTGAGCGCGCGCGCGTGTTTTTTTATAATATATTATTTTAACATAATATATTTGTATATATTAAAAATATATTACTTTAAAAGGAATAAAAATTATTTATTTATATATATATATATATATATATATATATATATATATATATATATATATATATATATATATATATATATATATATATATATATATATATATATATATATATATATATATATATATATATATATATATATATATATATATATGAATTTCTAAAAAAAATTGTTAAAATACCCTAATGAAGCAACAAAATATATTTTATGGAGATGCAACTTTTTGAAAGAATTTTAAATAACGTAAATTAAAAATGAAATGAAAATATATTAATAACAAAATAAAATTTAATTAAACAAAAATCAAATAAAGAAAAAACAAAATAAATAATTTCTTACCTTTCAACTAATTGGATGAAGGTGAGAAAATTGAAGTTTAAGATTGAAAGAGTGAAAAACTGATAAAATTGAGGTTGAAAAAAGAAGGTTGAAGTTTGAGATTGGGAGAAAATTAGCTCAGAATGAGTTGAAGAGTGTGGAAAAAATTTGATTCAGTACATGGAGGAACGAACTTGTAAAATATTTAGCAATGTTAACGTCGTAGAAATTACGTTGCAACTCAGTGACATGTAAATTACGTGGCAACTGAAAAAGTGATTGTTGCCTTACGACATGATTTTGTGTAGATAATTATGAGATGTCAGAACGATCATATTTTTAACCAAACATCAATTCAATCGTCAGTCAAGATTTCCACGTGATTTTTTTAATATTTTAAAATATTTGTTGCGACGTGTTTTTCACATCACAACTTAATTTTTTTAAAATTCGAATATCCTCCCATGTGAAATCACTTACGCCTTTTTTTATTTAGAAATATATGTTGTGACGTGTTTAACACAACGCAACATTTTTTTTATATATTTTATAACTTTCTACCACCTGAAAATGGGGTTTCTTTTATTTAATTATTTAAAATTCTTAGTGACGTGAAAATCATGTCGCAACTACCTTTTTTTGCCACGTTTTTTTTACATCGCAATATTATGACGTTGGGGGGAAATTTTCTTGTAGTGAACTGGCCCAAAAATCTTTTTTCTTTTGTTTGTGTCAAACTCTAGCCAATAAATAGAAGTCTCCTGTTTCACTTTTTCACATCTATAATCATGAGCTATCTCACTCTCCTCACACTCTCTAAAATATTTTCTTATTTTCTCTCACTTTAATTTATCCATGACGCTTTGAGAAACTGCTTGTGTTTAGTGAGGAAATTTGTTTATGAAAAGGGTATATTTGTAAATTCACCAATATTTATTTTTTCTTGGTTAATTGAATATTTCTTTCTTAGGAAGTGTTTGTTTGAGTTTGAAGCTAAACCCGTTAAAATATTTGTTTGAATGGTTTAGTATTTTGTCGCGGTTTGGTTCCTGAGCTGAGCCACTTACCAAAAACACTCTTTATTGTGGGTTCTTGAAGATAACAAGTGAAAATATTTTCTTTGGTTCATGACCTTAGCCTAATGTATAATCTCAACATAGTTTGAGATCAACCTGGTATAAAATATTAATTCGATATGTGGTTAGCCTATGTAAACCCGTATTTGGTTCGTAGTCAGTCTGCATAAAACCTCACTCTGATTTAGGGGATCGCTAGTTCAAAACTCCGCATTTGTTTGAGATTAACTTGTATAAAATATCAGGTTTTAAGCTTGGAGACTAAGCGCTCGAAGTTTCATTAATGTTTGGAAGGAAGACTAATCATCACTACTAGATAAAGTAATTTTCACCACGGTTGGCTACAGATTTAGCCATAGGCGATGATTCGTGGTAATGAAGGATATGGTAGTAAGTGAACTACTTACCCCCACGAGCTATTGGTTGTGTAATTGAAAAAGCGTTCCATATATCGTCACGGTTGGAATAAACAACCATAATTAAAAATGAAAAGATTTGTAAATCAATACCAAACAATATCATTTTTGGTTTTTATTAAATTGAAAAGCGTGCTACATATCACCATGGTTACAACAACCAACCACAGTGAAATATTTTATTCTTTTAAAATATATATTTTTTGATTTTATAAATTTCTCATGTTTTTAACTTATATTTTGTAACTCAGAAATAACATAAAATACATTTGTAAATCAAAAACAAATTAAAAATTATTATGAAAAAAAAAACATATATTAAATCAAAATCAAAATAACATACATTTTACACTTCCTTTATTAATTATCATTAACATTGATTAAAAATATTTTATTTCTACTGAAGCAATCAAGTTCTTGTACCAACGACAATAACTACTGGAGCATGGAAGATCTCTTGTCTTTGCAATTACTATTACTTAATGGAGATTAATTAAGATTTAAGTGCTTAATTTTCTATATATTATTATATATAAACCTAAGTGCTTAATTTCCATGAAGCAGAAACATATTATTAATTAGGTTTGTTTATATAACTAGTTTGATCATATTTGGTGACAAGTACTTTTCATATATAAGAACTTAATCGCTTATGTTGTGTAATATATAAGAGCTTAATATGTAAGTACTTTTATCGTTTTCTTGCGAAATCATATGATGGTGATGATATTGCACATGCGTTGATGAATGGCCAAACTAAAGCCACAAGAATTTGACACGTGGCAACACCAGCTTTGTTAAAAATTTAAACCAACTTTTTCATTAGCCCAGGTGATCCACGTACTGCCATGCAACTTTTCAAAACAGACCAAAACCTAACCTTTTCATTAGCCCAAGTGATCCACGTACTGCCATGCCCGTGTTCAAATACTGCCAAAAGTTGCATCTACCAAAATCGAACGGCAACAAGCACAGGGACGGAAAAGGTCACCACTAGATCAATACATCATGATATTATTGAACCTTATTAATATATAATGGTTCGCAAATAATTATGTTGAAATCGTTGAAACATTGTTTCTCCTCACCAATTGGTACAGATTTTTCTATAAATAAAGATACTTATTAGATATAGAATTCATACGAAAATATTTAATAGAATTTTATTTTATAAAATATCGTTGATCGATATGTTTGATGTCAATGTGCGATTCATGTTAAGGTTTCCAAAGTATCCTGAAAGTGATTTGTCAGATTACCCACAATTATGCATCTAATTTCTCTAAATTGGTGGGGCGAATCCAATCTAAAGTTTAGTGTAAACATACACAATGAAATTTATTTTGTGCAACTTTCATCATAACATTTTCATCTTCTTCACTATGCCAAATAAGACTTTTAGCAGCGTTTTTTTTTGCCATTTAGCAGTGCTGCCTAAAGGTAAAGGCAACGCTTTTTTTATGGAAAAAGCGCTGCTATAGGCCCCCCTTAGAAGCACTTTCAGAAGCGCTGTCTATTCCCCCCTCCCCCCCCCCCCCCCCCTTCTTTAGCAGCGCCTTTTATAAGTGCTGCC